GGATTATGATACACAAGGGTAATAATCACTAAGGGTGAAGGAAGAACTTTCCAGGTGGCTCCATGATGAGTAGAAGAGCATTGAAGCACTGTATGGAAAGTGTTTGTGATGGGCGATCAACAAAACAATATAGTAAAGGAATGGTGGCCGACTACTGTCTATTTTCTACATAAATCTCGGAACTGTCCACCGAGGGGAGGCTACTTAAGGTGTCCCAACTCCCAATGCGCTAACCTCACTATCTGTTCTACTACACCATATCCTTGATTTTCCGAGCGGGCTTGTCATAGCGAATCTGGGTCGTATCGGCCCATGATTCCATATGAGACTTGCTGCAACAATATCTTGTTTCCATATTTGTTGCAACCCTGTATTTGTATGGCCAAGTTCGACACCTCTTTAGATAGCAAGGCTAATGACGTAATAATGATAAGTGTCCGTGCGACAGTCACTAGAAGATAGGCGCAGCCTTTTTTTTTTTTTGCATCAGATTTTAATTGCGTATGCAGCTATCTAGCTATGACACAATATCAAAGAAAAGTACAGAATAAATGATTCAACGTTAAGGAAGAGCACTCATGCCTCAGATTTCATTTGCAAGTACCACTGCGAAGTTATGGTGGCTTTTTCTTCATCCCAAGTCAACCCTCATCCGTGAACACCTACCCAGGGAAACATCTCAAAAACCCTGAGTTATCCAGACATGCCTCCATCATCTTTCAATTTTTCTCCGCGCGATATGTGATCTGAGATGTCTCCTTCCCAAGTGGAGTAGGTGCCCAGGCTACTCAGACTATACCAGAGAACAACACCAGGAGGCGGACCACAACACCTTCCATCGTTGGCTTGCGTTTATAGTGTCAGCTGATAGACGCAGCCTGTAACAGTGTTCCAGGTAATACTACCAGATGGAGGAGACTAGAATACTCCGTGATACTGTTTAGGGAAATTTAGACGAGAGTCTAGCTACCTCAGATGTGTATATAATTAGCACTTTCTACCTCCGAATCCCCATAGTTCTGAATGCCAAATACATCAGCAGTTCACACTGATTCATCGATAATCATCCGTAAACCTTCTGCCAATTATACTCCGTAAGCTCTTACCTTTACAACATTATGCAGCTATAGAGCTATGACACATGACCGGTGCTGTGTATATATAATGGATGCCTCTTTTGGCCTTGGAGACACTCTCATACTGGATTTCATTCGCAAACACCACTATGAGATATATTCGCTTACACAAACAGTCGGCCCTCCTCCGTAAGTACCCACCAAAGGGACGTTTTAAAATCTTTAGTTATCCAAGCATACCTTCATCACCCATGCATACCATCGCCGCGAGAAATGTGGTTATGTTTTGTTGGATTTAAACAAGCCATCTACTGTCTCGAGTGGGATATGTGTCCAAGCTATACAGACTCTATTTGGCAAACCGGCCAAGACGATGTACCACCGCACCATCCAACCGTGGCGGTGTTTAGAGTGTCGCCCGCACTCTCTCAAGGGAAGTCTTGGCACACACAAAGTTCATTTTGTTAATCTCCTTGCCGAAATTCGAATTTTAGCAATCTTCGAGACTGTATCATCCTCTGTATCATCTTTTGAACTTGACCTAATCTTTCTCACGTCCATCCCAAAGAACTGTCTTTAGATTTGTGCGCCACGCTATGCTTGCTCCGTCGGGTGTAAATATCGGCGTGGGCGTGTATTTAGCGAACGGCTGAGGCCAGAGAAAGTCGACGAGAGGTGTAGTCATTAGAATGAAGGTGTAATAGGTCTTAATTGTAGAGTTGATGAGAGTTAGGTAGGATTCGATCTCTTTGGGAATGAAAAATTGATGTGGTAGAGTATTTTGAATCATTGCCTCGTGGGCCAACTTGTTCAGTATTGCGAAATTTGACTGAACTTGGCTCTGGGCAAATCTTTCACTCCCAGGTTCGCAGAGGACACCGTATACAGGTGTTCAGTCTTTCCCTCCTTAGATATCCTTAGCCTGTAGTCAGAAAGGACCTGCATGTCCTACATAGTCATTGACTCAGACATGACAATAAAATGAGATAACAAAAATAATTTTAATTTTAATATATAATGTAACATATCTTACAAGATATCAATCGATCCACTGCGTTTAATTTTAATACAATGGTCAAATTTCATTACAGCTGACCTCGAGCAAGTAAATGGGCCATGCGTCAAGCTCACCACCACCATGATGGATAAAAGCTGATTGGGGCAAGCGCGGCCATGCAGTCAATAGAGGTAGATGAGCTCTGATATTAAACCATACCAACGCCCCTACCTACGTTTGATTAAAAACTATCGAAGGTAATACTGCAACGCCGTATGACGCTTTACATCAATGAAAGAAATTTAGTGATATAATGCAATATCCAATATAAATCATTGAGATATTGAACTTGATCTGTAAGGAAATTGGGATGTTAGATATAAGTATGGCATGAGAACAGTCACGTCTTTATGCTATAATCAGCTCGCTCGCAGACCATTCATGTATTTAGTCTGCGGATATTCGAAGATTGAGCCAAACTGAGAATCTCTGCTCACTACATCTGATCGAATTTGGTGGTTTTAAGATCCCGGTCACGGGACCTACATCCTTAGGATATGAGACAGATGATCGATCCCAATTTCCTCAATACTGCCAATGTGCCCAAATCTAACCGAACTGGGAAAAGGACAAGGATGAGAATACAAAATTATGGTCCTGAGTCCTCCGGGGTTCATCCACCAAGAGACCAATTCCTGTGAATCCACCTTGACTTGCACCAATATTCACTGAAATAATAGGAATCAATTTCTCACTTCTCCATCGAGTGAAGCAAGCTGTGCACGTCTTTTTCTTTTGAAAAGCCGATAGCTCTAGCCGAAACTGTGGTGCTGGCGCCAGCAAACACCACAGATCACGGATGAGTGCTGACTTTGAGTAAAGAAAAAACCACCATACCTTCGCAGTGGTACTTGAATATGAAATCCGAGGCATGAGGGCTCTTCTTGCATATTGAGTCATCTTTTCTGTACCTTTTCTGCGATATTGTTTCAGTTAGATAGCCGCATACGCAATTAAAACCTGATGCAAAAAAAAGTACATTTGTTGTAAATTGTAGACGATTATTAATATGACAAGCTCCTGTATAAAATAAGAGTAAATTCTTGATCGATCGTTAAGGTGAGAATGAACAAGAGAACTCGTGTGTGCATATCGGGACAGAGATTGATGAGGAGTCGCCAGATGTAGATTTTTTGTGTTTGCTTTCGACTTAGAATAGGGTGCAATTCCTAGCCTTCCTAGATATGCACTGCATTCTGTGCTTAACATTCCTCGCGGAGATGTTAGGCCAAATCTAGATATTCTCAATGCGCCATGATGACCAAATAAATACCTATATCACATGCAACAAATGTACCACTTCTATCATAGCTAACCAAATATAATTTAGGTGGAGTGCTCAGGTTGCCCCGCTGCAGAAGCTCTTCAATGAACCTGTACTTATCGGTCTCACTCGAGTAGCGGCTCGTGCACTGGCAGCAATTTGGTACGGCATATAGTGATCACGAAAATGTCAATCGCCCCGCCTCTCGATTAGTATGTAGAACTACAATTCTAGGTCTTAACCTTTCTCCACAAAATAGGTCACGCACAGGAGGCGTCGCTGCTGTTGACAGCGCATTAGCTACGTAGCCTTATGCTCCGTCTGACATCCCCCACTCACAGCTGGTCCCAGCAGCGCCTCGGAACTACGAATTTGCCGTCTTCCGTAGTTCAAGCCTAGTCGCATCGAATCTCCGGGAGACTCCAGTACCATTGGGTCGGGTGCTGGCTTAGTTTGCCTTAGGAACCTTTTCGGCACAGTGTTACCACAGATTATCTATCCCTGCTCAAACGCCACGCCAATCTAGAAGCGGAAATCGCCGAGAGAGGTTGAAATTAATTCGTTCTAGCACAACTATGTAACTAGCTTTAATGTTTTCTGAAATGGGGTAGCTAGCATTGATTAGCCTTGTCAGTCTTAGGAACGTGATGCTTACCCTGTGATTCAAATGACACAGACCTCGGGTCCATAGGTAAGATTGATCGCCAGCAACACACAAGAAGCCATTTCATCATTTTCATGAGAACGCTTCCAGTGCCCTTTTCATTGGCTCGCAGTTGTTTCAGATAGTCGGCCTCCGTGTAAGAAACGCATCATCCTACAATGAGAAGTTGATCTTTGGTGGTAACGGCAGATAAAAAGATCTGCAACATTGTGCGTCATTGCTTATTCTAGTCTAGGGCGGGATGGGAATCTTGAATTACACTGTAAAGAGCAAATTACCTGGCTCCCTGCAATCTACAGCTTTTTACCTTTTGATATGGCTATAGTCCAACGCCTGTCTTCTAAATTCGTCTCAAAGTTGAGTTTGCTGCCTTCCAGGCTTCTTCTTGATTTCGCTAGTGGTGGGATGTGAATAGAAAGGTTGAGAGAGAGTTAAATTTTTTGTACTGAATGAGTCTGAGACTATCTATATAGAAAAGTCGAAAGTACATAGATCATGCCTTGCACCTATTTCAAGATGGTTTCCTGGACTGATCTGGCAAGTGATAATCAAGCACCGTTCGTTCAGCCTCGATAGAATGGAATTTAATGAAAGTCCCTACTGAGTCTCTGGGTTTGAAGGGCTGCTAAAAGATACAGAAGTGCTAATAAACATTTACTTATTACTTCATAATATTTATTTTCAATATTTTCCAATTAACACCGAGGGTTTTATCCCAGGGTCCAGCCTCGATCTCTCATCGTACTGGGTAGTTCACACCAGTAGAATTCGCGGTCTCTACTAAACTCATTGTCACGCAGAACTATGGAGTAACAACGATAGAATGTGTGCTATATTTTATAATAACTAATTTTTTCAACAATTATGCAAACCTCATTAGTTTTGCGAAAACATAACTCCTTTTGACGGTTTTTCATAACTTGTATACGAGGAAAAATATTAATTGATGCCGAAAGTAGTTCTGGAAATATGAGGACCTAGCTTAGGCGCCGCCTCTGCCTTCCGATAAGATCTATTTCCTGAGAGGCATAACCCTTCTGATCCGAACGGCAACGCACGCAAAGGGATCTCTCGGGGGTTTGAATTATGTCCTTCCAACGTTTGAGCCAATAAATTTGCCTTTGTGTGAGCAAGGTTTTCTAGCTGCCTTGTTGGGTCCTAAAACAAACAGTAAGAAAACTATCTCACGTATGAAAACTGAAAAAAGTACCCATTCTTCTTGAGATGGAACACCTTCAGCATCGGGCAGTTGATCTGGGTAGCTTTCGTTTCCCCAGAAATTGGGCTTTCGAATTGGCATTGGTGTTACTGGTAAATGTTTTCGCTCGAATATTCCGAAATAATCTGGGAATTTAGCACCATGATCTCTCTTACCCGAACTATCCATTCCGAAGCGGGATTGCTGCAGATTTCCTATATAACGCTCAATTTCAGGGATATCGTCCCAAGCATTCCTGTGTGTGTACGATTGCCATTGATCAGTAGAAGAAATAGTTGCGGCAGAATTATGGGGAATTTCATTTTTAACAGTATTTTCTTCTATTGCGTCGAAATTTTCATCATGATTAGATTCAAAAAAGTAATTTTCGTCAACATCTTCAGGAAATACTCTTGAAGGCTTCTGGGCATTTATTTCCCATGGAAATATAGGAACAGGTTTTTGATATTTGGGGGTTGATGGAACCTCATACCACATATTCTTGGGCGGGTCAGGATATCGGTCAGGAGGCTTGAAAGGCGTTGGGTCGGAAGACATGTTATATTGTGTAACGGGCAAATTTGAAGCTTCGGGTCTAGAATCGATCGGCGGTGGTTCTCTATGTTGTGGTTAGCTTCGATTTTCCAAACACTTTTATCGTAGAATCTCACTTGCTAGCATCCCAGATCAGGTACTGATCATCATGAACTGTTGGTTCTTCGGGAGATGACGTTTGAAAACCGTTAGTTTCTTCCTTCGAAACGGTTGGAGTTTCAGACTGTATCTCTTTTACAACCTCTTCGCGCTGACCTTTACCTTGCTTCAAGTTTTCTTGGAAGTGATCCTCACTGTCCATGATTTCATGACTGCAATCAAAATGAGGCTTTGTATCGGGTTCTTCAAGGTCCTGGCCCTTTATTTTGGTCACATGACAAGAATGATCCTGATATATTTCATCGCCATGATATTCAAGTATAGTTAGTTTTTCGCCTTCTGATCTATCTTGATGATGTGAGTGACATTGTAATATGGGACCATCACTTGGTATATTGCCTTGTGCTTGGCTTTGACACGATGGGTATTCATCAGCAGTATCTTGAGAGTCTTTAGAGCTATCTGCCTGTGGAATGTGAATACGATTAAAAGTATCTTTGGGATGAGAGACCTACCGAAATTTTGTAGTGTCGATCATATATTGCCCACCATTTTTCTACCATCTCATTGTATGGGGAAGAATCCTTTCTCCTGTGTCTCTCTTGATACCAAGGCTTATTTTGGCCGATAAAGTGAATCATACTTATGCCCGAACGAAAGTGACGATATGCCGGGAAATACTGATAATGAGCTGACGGAGTGACGTTATATGTGAAGCTCAGACGGTTATAATTATTCCGGAAATGCATGTTTAGAAGCCCTTGATCTGCGCCGTCAAAGGATATTCCCCGCTCAGCCATAGCGAGCAGGGAATAGTAATCGCTCAGATTTGGGCTAAGTACCATCAGGCCAGAATTAAAGATATCCGGCCATCCAATATCTGGAGCAGCAGAAAATTCGTAGGGTAGATCAAATAGCTCATCGGGTGCTCGAAGAGCGATCATATCAGAATCTACATAAACAATCTTTCGGAAGTTTAACTGCTTCCATAGCACGAGCTTTGTGAAGGTCGAGTGAAGGTCAGGTCGATTCATGAGATGAAGGTTTTCGGGAGATTTATTGACAATGCGATCAACAGGTATGATATAGTCGTATATTTTCTGAAGCTTGTTAAAAAAACCGCTCCACATCTAAAAATTTTGACTCACCTGCAGTTCTATCAATGATTTCGTAGAGACTGATTCTTTAGTGACAAGCACTGCCAGCTTCTTGGAAGTGCCACCATCTCGTAGGGAATGTGCCAGGACCAGAGCTCCTGTTACAGCACCTGTGAGTACTAGTTTTTTGGAAGGATAGTTTTACTCACCTGGGAGATAAGAGTCGTTTAAAAGGAGCTATAATCTATAAGCAAAGCCTCTAGATGGAGCTCTATTCAACTCACAGTTGCATAGACTTCATCGTCCGTTGAAGTCATGTCGCTAATCTCATAGCAACTCCTTGAGTGAATATTGTTAAGATGAAAAGTCAATTATTTCTGGTGAGTTATGAATTCCACTGCACATTCAGTGTCAGGACTTGGGTGGGCAAATATCTCCAACAAAAAAAGTAAGGCCGAGGGTCTTCCAAGGCAGGGCAGTTCGACAAAATGGATAGTTGATGACCAGGGGTATGTTCGGCGGGTTTGGCGGATCTGGGTAAACGGTAGCGAAAGAGTAGCTTCATTAGTAGTTGCAGTAACACGGAGGAATACCCCCATGATGAGAGACACTATAGGGCGTAATCTGGATATACGAGGGTGGCTATCCACACGCATTCACAACCACGCATGCACAGCTCTATCAATGATTTATTGCCTTTGACGATGTGCCCGTTGGGAGTTTAGGCTTGGATAGACTTCTCAATAGAATGATATCCTGACCCCCGAGATTTCTTAGGATTCAAGGTTGTATACCCTGATTTTGGCTATTCCATGTAACTTGTACAAAGAGTCATCTCTTAATCGTTATGTTCTTCTCGCCGCCCCACTCAGCCTTATAACATTAGTAACCCCGACATGTACCATCTCATGCTTAATCTTAATATCCCACAAATGCCTACGATGGCAATGGTAAAATTTTATAGCTTCTAATATTTCTAGGACTTACACTTCAGAGATCATAATAAATAGTCCGAATGCCAGTGTAACTAAGTGAATGTCAGGGACTCGATACACGATGTAACAAACGTTTTATAGATCTCCACAAAATCTGGTTTGCATAGCTCCCATGTGTATAACGCGCCATAGAGCACGAGATACAAGTGGGGCCCAGAAGCTCCATGCAATGCCGGATGACGCGTGACTCGTGTTAGATACCGAGACTCGACTCAAATGACATAAACTCACCGTATGATGCAGAAGCTTATCACAGTTTTAATAATTAAGAATCTATTCTGCAGTTTAGAGCTCACAATTCCAAAAATTTTGATCTGTGCTGTTGTCGTCAGATCCTACTCCCATCAAAGCTTATATCTGGATCGCCTAGTTTTATCGCGCGAAACACAATCTCCATATTTTTCTGGTGGGGAGATCGACATCCCCGCAATTCGTACTCGGAGAAGATTGCAGTACTCTACTACCACCCTTGATCCGAGCAGTCATAATAATCAACCTGATCCATTTTAATCTTATCCTTAGTATAAGGGTTTGTCAAGGGGAACTATTCCACCTACTCATGTAAACTAAGCTAGTAAGGTCACATGCCCTGGCTATCAGTACATAGATTTCATCTGTAGCATTAGGACTCTCTAGTCAGCATTTACAACATGATACCGTGTCCCACGTATCTTTCTTAAGAGGGTTGTGATGGACTATGTCCCAAGGTTCTGTCAGAAAGTTTTTTAGACACGATCCTCTTCAAATATTGTCAACATCCGGCATTAGAAACTCCATTCAGAATACAATCGATTTTTGAGGACGTTACTTATAATTTTTCCATTAATCCCCAAGGCACAAACTGCTCGAATATAGCATTAAATAGTTCCTCGCGGTCTAGAGTGGGCGAGCTCAGAAATTTTATTTAGGCATCCTCCGTGACTCAAGAAAAATGATGAAGGCTTGTCTCAAGAGAAGTCCATGGCTGTTTCAAGGCGATTCATGCATTCCCGCCGACGTAATCGTAATTTCTTAACATAACACATCTTTAGGATAATAGACCTTTCTATTGGCGAAAGCATTGTCATACATAGTTGTTAACTCAAATAGGACATAAATGGATAATAGTAATTGGCGAAAGTATGGCAAGTGAGAGAAGGTTCAATATCACATGGTCCGGGCTAGTCACGCAAGCATTATCTTCATGGCTTGGCCAAATTTCCTATTCAAGGTTACTTTACGCCCTTTCCAACACTAGGGACTAGTTTTAGTCAGACGTAAAATAGAAAATAGACCCGTTCAAGGAAGGGGTTTGCTAGTTCGACCTCATGAAGATAAAATCTCCATTTTTTAAAAAATCATTCTGTAGTGGATTCAGCCTATACCGGCTGAGGGTCCTAGAGCGCAGATAATCGGGAGCTAGAGACGAGGTATGAGCGTCGTCTTGTCACTAGTTAGGGAAGATAGGATCGCCGCTCGGGGCAATTGCATAGGATGTATGTAGAGCGTAGTAGTCGATAGAAGAAAGGCTAGACAACCTTCTGCTTATTTTAGACTTCGATATTGATCACCCTGTGAATCTGTTTCGTGAGTCCCGAGCGATAACAGTCTTAATTACTTACCAGTACCCACACGGCCATGCCACGCGGAGGGCAAGACTGAACACCTGTACGCGGTGTCCTCTACGAACCTGGGAGTGAAATATTCTCCCAGAGCCAAGTTCAGTCAAATTTCGCAATATCAAAGAAGTTGGCCCACGAGGCAAAATTCCAAATTACTCATCCACGTCGTTATTTCGCTCCCAACGAGTTTGACTCCTATCTTCGTCTCATCGAGTCTACAAGTACGACCAAGTACATCCTCATTCCAATGACCACACCACTCTTCGACCTTCTCTGGCCTCAGCTGGTCACCAAATACACGCCCACGCCGATATTTATACCCGCCGGAGGATGCAAGGCGTGGCGCACAAATCTGGGAGACAGTTCTTTGGGATGGATGTGAGAGGGATCTGGACAAGTTGACAAGATGATGCGAAGGACGGATATAACCTCGAAGGGCATGAGATTCCGAATTTTGGCAAGGAGTTTTTCGAATTGGGCTTTGTGCGCGCCAAGACTTCGCTTGCGAGAGTGCAGCTGACACTATAAACACAAGCAAACGATGGAAGGTGTAGTGATCCGCCTCCTGGTGGTGTTCTCCGGTATAGTTTGAGTAGCCTGGGCACCTACTCCACTTGGGAAGGAGACACCTCAGATCACATATCGCGCGGAGAAAAGTTGAAAGATGATGGAGGCATGTCTGGATAACTCAGGGTTTTTGAGACGTTCCCCTGGGTGGGTATTCACGGATGAGGGTTGACTTGGGGTGAAGAAAAAGCCACCATAACTTCGCAGTGGTACTTGCAAATGAAATCTGAGGCATGAGTGCTCTTCCTTAACGATGAATCATCTATTCTGTACTTTTCTTTGATATTGTGTCATAGCTAGATAGCTGCATACGCAATTAAAATCTGATGCAAAAAAAAAAAAAAAGGCCATGCCACGCATGGACGCCCATGAACGAAGTCGCTCTCCATTACGAAAACATTCTCTAAATTCATTGTCCTATTCCTTCGTTACTTAGCATTGCTTAAACTTGCCTCCACCTCTCCAGGTGAACTAGAAATTTGAGATTTAGCTCTCATGGGAACAGTCCTTCTTCCTACATTTTTATACAATGGCAACCAATAATAAAAGGAGGGCAAGACTGAACACCTGTACGCGGTGTCCTCCACGAACCTGTGAGTGAAATATTCCCCCAGAGCCAAGTTCAGTCAAATTTCGCAATGTCAAAGAAGTTGGCCCACGAGGCAAAATTTAAAATTATTCCTCCACGTCGTTTTTTCGCACCCAACGAGTTTGACTTCTACCTAAGTCTCATCAAGTCTACAAGTGCGACCAAGTACATCCTCATTCCAATGACCACACCTCTTTTCGACTTTCTCTGGCCTCAGTTGACCACCAAAAACACGCCCACGCCGATATTTATATCCTACGGGAGAACCAAAGCGTGGCGCACAAATCTAGGAGACAGTTCTTTGGGATGGACGTGAGAGGGATCAGGACAAGTTGACAAGATGATACAGAGGAAGGATATAACTTCGTAGGGGATGAGATTCCGAATTGTGGCAAGGAATTTTACGAATTGGGCTTTGTGCACGCCAAGACTTCGCTTGCGAGAGTGCAGCTGACACTATAAAAACAAGTCAACGATGGAAGGTGGTGTGGCCCGCCCCCTGGCGGTGTGCTCCGGTATAGTTTGAGTAGCCTGGGCACCTACTACACTTGGGAAAGAGACACCTCAGATCACGTATCGCACGGAGAAAAGTTGAAAGATAACGGAGGCATGTCTGGATAACTCAGGGTTTTTGAGATGTTTCCCTGGGTGTGTGTTAAAGGATGAGGGTTGACTTGGAGTGAAGAAAAAGCCGCCATAACTTTGCAGTGGTACTTGCAAATGAAATCCGAGGCATGAGTGCTCTTCCTTTACGTCGAATCATCTATTCTGTACTTTTCTTTGATATTGTTTCATAGCTAGATAGCTGCATACGCAACTAAAATCTGATGCAAAAAAAAACCAATAAGACAAAAATAACTTATTAGACAGGTATCATAAGTGGGATAGCGAAGGCAGCTTTGAATAACGAAATGTTTGGAGTTTGAAACTAGTAGGAGCTCGCGAACGAAAGTAGACTGATGAATGAGAAAATACACCTGATTGTCTTATCTGCGAATCAACCCCTGAGAGAGAGAGAAGGAGGTCTATTTATTGTACTAACTGAGTCTTAGACCATCTAGCACATTGAGCTCCTCTCTGGCTCAGGCTACACATTGTACAATGCTAATAGTCTCTTTTGTTACTTGAATTATCATTGATATATTGCCCCTGATGAATAGCCATTCAGCTCAGTATTTGCCCGTTGAATTCAGCCACCTTCTCCACGGAACCTTCCACCCAAAAAAATGAAAATGGTAGCAATGGAAACTACCTGCACGAGAAAAAGTCTCAAAAAACCTGCAGCCCCAGCCAGGCGAGGCCTAGACATCGGGACCACATGAGGTGCGCATATCCATCTATATCTCTCTTTTTTGTAACATTCGAGGCCGACTTGATCCAATCCACCATCTCCGTATCGCGTGCTGGGTACGCTCCGGAAAGTCATCGGATGGCTTTTACTCCATGATCAAGTGTTGGTCATAAGCAGGGCTCCGACCCTAGCATCTGATCTGATCGTGGTTAGCTTCATGATAATGGTGATAGGGGAATGTGTTGGGAGATGAAGACGATACGGACCGTGAGAG